CAGAATAAACAACGAGATTCACATTTTCAATACAAATGATGAGTCAGACAGTTATTCCGTGTGGGTGAGAAACTTGGCGATTGAGTCGTGAAAAGCATTTGCAACAGCCAGTTGTAGACATTTATGAATGGGTGTCTTCGTTGGCTGGCTCTACACTGAAGATGAAGTAGCCTACCGGGAAGAATTAGAGACAAGAGACTCTGGCAAAAAATTGACCAATAAGCTATCGTTCAACAAATATGCCAGAGCGAATGGAGATGGATCGGGTGCACTTTGAGCAGACCGTCGAATGGTATCGTGAGTGGTGTCCTTGAGTGGAAGTTGAGTGTGGAACAACGAGTTTTGTGTCCAAGTGTGACATGTAGAAGATCGTGTGGGGAGATGAGAGTCTATGGGAAATTGTGGACACAGCTGAAGAAGACAATAGAAAATAGAAGAAAGTGGAGATTTGCTTTTGAAGCCCTACTTGCTACCTGTAATCCGAAGAAATAATAATAAAAATAATAGTTACCAGAGTTTAGTGTTAATGCGATGCATATTATCATTTATATACAAATGGTATGATCTGTGTTTTGTTAATAACTGGCTTGGATATCATTATTCTCATACAATATTCTGGCAAAAAGCTCTCAAATCTGTTAACCTTATTGAAAAGACAGGCAATACTGTAGATAAACAATTAATAGTTCATGAATAGGAATATAATTATAGAATTTATCGAAAACAATGTTTATTGTTCTCTAACTAATGCTTTGATTACTTTTTAAGAATTGTTAGCACTAATTAGGAATATATATATATATGAGATTTATGACTAACTTAATGGTAATACTGAGGTTATCGAAACTGGTTATTAACTTCCCGAACAAAAATTTACTTTGTGTATGTTAAATGGAACGTGAAAACATTTTCGTTTCGTTAGATTTAGGTTCTCTTTTTGTTATTCTTGAAAGTCATTGTAAAATGAAATCGTGGCCAACTTTTCCAGTGGAAAACAACTAAATCGTATTTCCAGATGCCTTTAGTTATATCAAGAAGTTAATTTCATTCAATCCTCATTAAATCGAATTTAATTCGCCTATGTCACACTCATTATCGTAAATGATTGCCATTAAGACGTAGTATGAAGTTTTGGGCAACTAATTCCTCTTTTTCTCTACACATCTGTTCGGATAATGGGGTTGTACAAAAAAAGGCAAGTGAACTGTGAACATCATGATATGAATAATTTCCACTGATTTTCTTCTTGTTGTGAACATCTCTTTCGATACAAACCATTCTGACTAGTTGTTACAAAGAATGATCAGCTGTTTAGTAAAAGAAGGAAGCCAAATATTTCTCTAATTTCACTATCTGACACACAATACAAAGGTATGATCTGATAAAGACTGGTGAGCAGTTCATGTGCCCTTGTAAAATTGTTCTACGCTTAAGGATTAAAACTTTATTATTAGTTAGGTAAATCTAATACAGACAATCATAAAACAGTGAAATATATTGAATTTCTAAATTCATTAACATATATCAGATATTCTTTTTGACTAATTTACTGCTTAAAAAAATATGAATTGTGAACAGAAAATCGAACAAACCCTATGCTTTGTATCTAATACGTAGAAGCGAAATGACCTTTCTTAACCTTACAAAAAATAAAATCAATATCTGAAAACATATTTAAGAATATAATAATGAGTAATGTCATCATAACTTTCAAAAGCGAAATTATTACCTGATGCCTACCTCACTGCAGTCAATATTTTTTAGTAGACTTGAGGAAAACTCATCTCTTGGTTACATATTCCAATCGGTATAGCTAGATATATTTCAGTGGTGAACATTTTCAATGACCCTCATAAATTAGTTTGTTTAACGTATTCAGTTCACATAGTTTTCAAAAAAAAACAACCGCCAAACTCAAAATTTCGACTGTCCTAGCAAATAAAATTCCAATTGGATGTATGCTAGAGCATGATACATAGTTGTTTCATCGACAACAGAACAAGGTGACATGCCACAAGATAGTTTGACTAAAAAACAAATGTTTTTCTCATGTATTAACAACTCAGAAAATTCTTCGCTTATTTCTGTGTATCTAAACACAGGATATGTATGCAGCAGTGCATGCATGAAGATTTCTGTTCTTTAAGTCTACCGGACAAAACTGAGTCATTTTCAACTCTACTAGCTCCCGCGATAGATTCAAACAAATTAGCCACATGAATACATATATTAAATTCGAAAATTTATGTAGTCATCAAATAAGGGATTTAGTTCCACCCTCTAGCCTGAAACTAGAACGCTTCAAGTTCAGTCTGGCAATTCGATGTTATCAATATGAAAAAAAGTAAGCATGATTGAAAACGTTTTCTGACAAACAGACACAGATTGTCAAATGACAGAATACTGGTAATTGCAAACTTGATAAGGAATGAGGAGTAGTCATCCTTGACAGAAATAATTACATTACAAAGATGAATGATATCGAGGGATAAACAGAAATTTCAAAAACTGGAAAAGAGAAAATAATAATAAAATAGAGAATGAAGTAACTAGATTTGACAAGAGATACTGAAGGAAGAGCATATGATCACTGCAAGTTTGTATGATGCAATCAGACCCAAGGGGATACACACACACACACACCAAGACTATACCACCTACCAAAATGGCATAAACCTGAAGTGACATTAAGATCCATTGTAGACATGCAAAACTTGATTTAATTAGAGAGATGATGTAATTACATGAACGGATAGTGAAATATGGGGTGAAAGAGGTGCTTTTGTATTCATGGACAGATATAAAGATATAACCATTGAAGGTGAAGCTATTATATATTTGTATGGAACATCTGTATTCACAAATGTACCTCTCACTGAAATGACTGAGCAGCATAGTACAACAAATAAATAAGTCAATAAATAATGGTATCTCAATAGAATTCCTTAGAGAATTGATACTAAAGTGTAATGATAATAAAAATAACAGCTTTATTCCAAACAGTAGTTTAGGTACAAATATGGAATTTTCAGCTTGCAGTACAGTATCGCATCTAATTTTCTCATTACAAGGGTAATAATTAAAACAGCGCATTCACAACATTGATGATGTCATTCAATAGGGAAATGAGTATAAAATTAAACCAAGTGAAAATATTTACAACAGTGTAACAATGAAAAACGTAGGGCTGTTTACTTAGAATCCCACAGTGAGTTGGTAATTTCCTGCCTCACACTTTTCTCATCACATAAAATTTGTGCTAAATAAGTTATTGTAGAGATTATGTACTTCGTTGTTCGAGCATACAGTCTTCCATACTTGCTTCTAGTTCTATCCGATGAGATGCTAGGAAAGAGTTGTGTATATCGAGGATGCTCAGAGTCTGACAAGATAATATTTGCTAATTTTTTGCATCATCTGAGTGTCTATCTACAATAGTATTAACAAGTTGGTTTAGCAACACGCAGCTCGCCCACCTGACGGCTTTTATTACACTTCGAAGTATAACGAAATCTTTCTCAAATAGCCCAGGAAAGATTGAGGGAGAGCAGTAAAGAAGTATAGGCAGAACGCAAGATTTAACAAAGTTGGAAATTAGAGACGGAATGACACCATGAAATTAAGTTTCAAATTTAGTGATGAATTTCACAGACATCAATATGGAGTGACATCATTCCGTCCCTTGTTAGCAGGTTTCTTTCCAAAAAAGGTAGAAAATAGTCTTCTAAACGATTTTATCACACATGGATGCTGCATTCGTCTTTTGTGAATGTCACCTGGATAGGCTTGCAATAACAGTTAACTTCAATGAGGTACACCAGCTATCAAATTCACATGCGACAAAGAATCTTAAAGAAGCCTGCCTACTTGGTTGTCCTTCTCATAAGAAGATCAGACGGTAATATAAAAAGAAAATTACCTAGGGAATGTGCATAAAAAAGACAGTATACACATTTCCATAGCCTTTTTCCTCTCCAGTACAACAGAAATTTTTTAAGGATTCTTAGCCACACAGTCAGAACTAAATGTTCAGAAAATGGAATTGAAGAGTAACCTAAGACTGTATATAATACCCTAATGGAGAATAGATATCCATAAAAGTTCATGGGGAAACACAAGACAAAGAAGATCAAAAAGAAATGAACAAAGCATAAACGATAAATGTATCTGGATAATATGACCTCATTCTTTATTATTTTGAGGATATTTCTCAACTGCCTACAACCTGAACAATACAAAATTGTTAATAATAACAAAGATTTGAACATACCTTTTTGTGATTACAAAGAGTATTTGATA